CCACCACTACCACCAACATCTGTGGTAGCGGGTTTGCCCTGGTTTGGAGATCAGTTATACCGTTGTGTGACGCCGGATGTTTACTGAGCTGGAAATTGTGTGTGTTACCTCATAGAATACTGGGGAAAAGTAGTAGAAAACCCACTAAAACACTTAGATATGTACGCAAATACAGTACTTATATATATAGATACTATATCAAAATTTACAAAATTTATATGCAAGGCACATTAGCCATAACAATACAATATCTCAGTGCTATATAATAGAACAATACAAATTCCAATGTTGTTAGCCAGAACAATCATTAGAATATTGCTAATCCATTAAAAGGTAAAGGTTCCCTTGCTCGAAAGCCAGTCAAGTCCGACTCTAGGGTTGTGGTGCTCATCTCCGTTTCAAAGCCGAAGAGCCAGCACTGTCCAAAGATGTTTCCATGGTCATGTGGCCGGCATAACTAAACGCCAAGGCGCACAGAATGCTGTTACCTTCCCACCAAAGTGGTACCTATTTACCTACTTGCAATTTCTTGCTTTCAAACTGCTAGGTACAGGTAGCAAGTTTACAAAGCAACCGGCTTTCGCTTGGTTTCGTGTCAAAACTTCATCAGAAGCAGAACAACTTATATTGTGTCATAATATTTGATAGTTTGAAATTGCACCTTTCTGGTTTCTAGAAGCACCTTCTTCTTAAGGGTTGCTACAGTTAGTATTGGGACTAGCCCTCAGTTCCCATGAAGACTTCTCATATTGGACCTGTCTGTATACTGCTAAGCTTAGAAGCCAAGAATGTACATATCTAAGTGTTTTAGTGGGTTTTCTTCTACTTTCCCCCAGTTTGTTGTTTTTTTCTTTGTCTTCGTACTGGGAGGTCTGTTTTTCTTGTTTTGGCACCTCATAGAATACGCCATCCTGTCAACGAAGAATGGCTACTCCTGTTAGCACTGTGACTATTTGACTGTTTAAAATGTTTCAACTGTTTTTATGTGTTTTATGTGGATTTCTGCTACTTTGTACCAATGAATGTAAGCATAATAATTTATTTTTATTTTATTGTATTTATACCCCGCCCTCCCCGCGAACGGGCTCATAAGCATAAGAGATGCCAATGTTGGATCAGGCCAAAGGCCCCTCCAGTCCAAAACTCTGTCACACATTGGCCAAAAATACTGGGTGCCATCAGGAGGTCCAGCAGTGGGGTCAGGACACCAGAAGCCCTCCCACTGCTGCCCCTCCCAAGCACCAAGAAGACAGAGCTTCACTTGCCCCAAAGCTACTATCTATATCTTGTGGCTAAGAGCCACTGATGGACCTCTGCTCCATATGCTTATCTAATTCCCTGTTGAAGCCGCCCATGCTTGTAGCCGCCACCACTTCCTGTGGCAGTGAATTCCATGTGTTAATCACTCTTTGGGTGAAGAAGGACTTCCTTTTATCCATTCTAACCCGACCGCTCATCAATTTAATGTAGGCAGCCCTGTGCCTGTTCGCGGGGGATACAAATGGAATAAAATAAATAAATAAATTCTCTGCCCGTCCTTAAAATGGCATCTGGCAGGCTGCTGAGGGAAACAGGATGCTGGAGTAGGGAGGGAGGGCTCGCTCCATGATCCTCACAGTGATGGATGGCCCGGCACCTCCAGATGCTTTGGAAAGGGTCTCTGGGAGGGGCTTGGGGCAGATGTGGTGTCCTGTTGAAGTTGCATCTGGCTGGAAACGCCGGTTGTGAAGTCAGCATGCCAAGAGGCACTCCGGAAACTCATTCATGGGACCCCTCTGTTCTCCAGGTGAGCTCAAGTCACGTCTGGGCCGGAGGTGATGGTGACATGTCCTGCGACACCATTTCCACTCCCCCAGGCCAGGCACAGGTCTCACAGGAGTCTGAAATACGTTGCCAGTGTTTATAACCCCTGAGGCTCATAGGTACCTGGTGCTTCTCTTCTGCCTCTCCCATAATTTAGTATAAATTGTGTTTAAAAATGTGTTGCATGTACACAGGACAAGGTTTCACAACCCTGGGAAGGGTGTGTGTGCAGCAAGGACAAAACAAGCAAACTTCCTTCCTCCCTCCTTTGTCTCAGGAACAGGCAGGAAAGAGATGCTGCTGAGCCGTCGTCTTCTCAGAGGTGTGGAAACGGCTGCTGCCCCTCCAGTCCAGGTAGGAGAGATGAGGGGGGGGATAGCCGGGGTCCCTCCTCCTTTCTCAGGGGGGCTTCTGCTCCTGAAGTTTCTTCAAGGTGTGGCGGGGGAGATGCACTGAACACCTTTCCCTTTACCCATTCATTGCCCATACATCTTGTTCCTTCCCAGACTACTCCCTTCCCTTGGGCAATCTCTGCCTGGCGTGATCTCTTGATGAGGGAATCTGCTTTTTCTTTCAGGGTCCATTTTCATTTGAGGAGGTGTCACTCTCATTCACGGAGGCAGAGTGGGCCCTGCTGGATCCAGGACAAAGAGCTCTGTACAGGGAAGTCATGCGGGAGAACTATGGGAATGTGGCCTTTCTAGGTAAGGATCTTTCATAGGTGCCAAAGGTGCGATTTGCTGCCTTTGGGATGAGGCATGAATCAAAATAGCAATTCACCGTTTTGAGGCCTCTTCCACTACTTCGGGAGGGGTTGTGTCTCACTGGCAGATCGCTGGAATCCCCAATGATGTGAAAGACCTCCGCCTGAGACCCTGGAGAGCCACTGCCAGACTGAGTAGACAAGACTGACTTCAGTGGACCAAGGGTCTGATTCAGTAGAAAACAGCTTCCTATGTTGTTCGTGTGTGTGTGTGTGTCCATTTGCCCAGGGTCAACCGAGGCCACTGTTGTGGCCATCACCGACTTAGAAAGACTCCGGAAGGGGCCTGATCCTCGTTTCTCTGTTCCCCAATTTTACAACACACCCTTCCCCCTGGATGGGATTACCAACTTGTGCTCTGCCTGTGATTTGGAAGTGTTCCTGTCAATAATAAAAAATAGTTTTTATTCGAGAGCTATTATTGCTTTAAATGCTGTATGAAATTGGAATTTGGGTGACATTGGTGGTTTAAGTTGCAATGTGAACCTTAAGGGAGTTGTGGGATGGTTGTGAATGGTTGTGTGAGTGTATATGAGTATGGTTGTAGATCACCGAAAGGATTGCATCTTTAATTTCGTTGTACTATGTACAATGACAATAAAGTATATTATTATTATTATTATTATTATTATTATTATTATTATTATTATTATTATTATTCGTAGAATCATAGAATGTTAGAGTTAGAAGGTAGGTCATCTAGTCCAACCCCCGCTGCTCTGCAGGAGCAGAGCCAAAAGAGAGCCCTACAACATACTCAAAAGATGGTTGTCCAGCCTCCGCTTGAAAACATCCAGCGAAGGAGCACCCACCACCTCCCGAGGCAGACTGTTCCACTGCTCAACCACTCTTACAGTCAGGAAGTTTCTCCTGATAATTAGCCGATAACGACTCCCTTGTAATTTCCACCCATTAGATCTAGTCTTGCAATCCAGAGCAAGAGAGAATAGATCCGCTCCATCTTCTACATGACAGCCCTTCAGATACTTGAAGACTGCAATCATGTCCCCTCCAAGCCTTCTCTTTCCCAGGCTAAACATACCCAACTCTTTCAGCCTTTCCTCGTAAGACTTGGATTCCAACCCTCTCACCATCCTGGTTGCCCTCTTTTGGGACACGCTCGAGCTTGTCAACATCCTTCCTAAAATGTGGTGCCCAACCAAAACTGGACACAGGACTCCTGGTGAGGCCTGACCATAGCAGAATAGAGGGGAACTACCACCTCCCGTGATCTGGACACAATGCTTCTGTTAGCATCCTAAGATTGCATTAGCTTTCTTCGCAGTCACATCGCACTGCAGGCTCATGTTTAGCTTGTGATGAACTGGAACACCCAGATCCCTGTCACATATGACATGTCACAAGAGCTGAAGCCTGGTCCCCTGGGTCACTACTCTTTGAACCTGAGCAGCACCCGGTTCAGTGAGTTCATGAGGAGAGTGCCCACAAGTAAAGCAGACCCCTTTTAAAATATATATAAAGGTTTATTGATTTAAAAAGAAAATACTGCGAAACAGCACCTTTTCTGCAGCTCAGCAAAAGAAAACAAGAAAAGCTGACTGTTCTATCTAATACATGAAACACTTGGTGTCACGGCTTGGGTGGGGTGTCACCTGACGCTGCCACCACTCTGGATTTAGGATCCCTTGAGAAGGCCCAGAGCACCATCCCAAGACCTTCAGACCTCCCTTTTGGCCGAATAATAGGTGTGAGGACCAGGCAGAGTGAACAATGAAAATAGTTTATTTTATAGGAGGTCAAACAAACAAGGTGCAGAATAATAACCGTAAGTGGGTGAAAAGAAAAGAAATCAAATGCCCTAACATGTCTAAATATATACTGTCCCTAGCTCACTATCAAGTGGCCTTAGACTACTGTTAGCTGTTGCTGCCATGGGAGTGAGGGGGTGCTCTGGAATGCTGAGTTTCTATTCTGCTGTGTCTTCTGAGTTTCTGTTACCTCTTTGCCTAAGCATTTGACCTTGGTGCCTAGGGTAGTATTTCCCCTGGGAAGTGGGGTCTGTTAGTGTGGCAGGCTTCTACCTGGGCTCTGATTGGCCCTGGGCCATCAGAGGGTCTGCTTGAATAATGTATATCTGTTTGCTTTGTGCACTTTTTGCCAGTTCTAACATGAAATCATTAAGATGTCTGCATACTATCAATTGGAACTTTACTTCTTTGAAGAACTGGCCATGCCTTCTGGGCAAGAGCTCAAACTCCTTCTGGGAAAAAGCTCAGCTGTAGTTCTTGTGGGGGTGCTGTATCCTTAAATACTAGATATTCTGGAGAAAGGTAGAGGGGTGGTTAAAATCAGCCAAGCTGGATGAGGCCAAAGGGCCGTCAGTCCTTTCCTCCTGCAGTCACATAATATGCCTTTGGACCTTACCAGCCCTCCCAGATGCTAACAGAATCTCTCTGTTTATTCCAGCGGAAGATGATCAGAGAAATGAGGAGAGTGTGGAACTTTATCTACAAAGTCCAGATACAGTTAAAACTGAAGACTTGAAAGAAAAAGCCAGAAATCAATGCAGATCTAAGAAAACCGAAAGCAGCAATATGATTGAGAAGAGAGATGACAGACAGCATAATGTACATTTCCCAGAGTACGGGATAATGAAGACAACTAAATCCATTCAATATGGAAAGCACTTCAAAAACACATCACATCTCCTTGAGCACCAAAGAATACGTACAGGCGAGAATCTTTTTGAATGCTCAGAGTGTGGAAAGAGCTTCAGTGAAAGTGGCACTCTTCAAAAGCACCAAGGACCCAACATAGGGGAAACACCTTTTGAATGCTCAGAGTGTGGAAAGCGATTCAGTGAGAGTGGTACTTCTTGGCAGCACCAAAGAACCGAAGCAGTGGAGAAACCATTTGTATGCTCAGAGTGTGGAAAGAGATTCAGTCTAAACCGTACTCTTCGGAGGCACGAAAAAACCCACACAGGGGATAAACCTTTTCAATGTTCAGTGTGTGGAAAGAGATTCATGTGGAGTAACCAGCTGCTAAGGCATCAAAGAACCCACACAGGGGAGAAACCCTATGAATGCTCAGAGTGTGGGAAGAGATTCCGTGAGAGATTCACTCTTCGATATCATCAAATAAACCACACAGAGGAAAAACCTTTTGAATGTGAAGAGTGTGGAAAGAGATTTAATGGGCATCACCATCTGGTAAAGCATCTAAGAACCCACACAAGGGGAAAACCTTTTGAATGCTCAGTGTGTGGAAAGAGATTCAGTCGGCGGGGCCATCTGCTAAGTCATCAAAGAACCCACACAGGGGAGAAACCCTTTGAATGCTCAGAGTGTGGGAAGAGATTCAGTGAGAGTGCCACTCTTCGATATCATCAAAGAAACCACACAGGGCAAAAACCTTTTGAATGCTCAGTGTGTGGGATGAGATTCAGTCAGAGTAGCCGTCTCCAAAAGCATCACAGAACCCACACAGGGGAGAAACCTTTTGAATGCTCAGAGTGTGGAAAGAGATTCCGTGAGAGTGACACTCTTCAATATCATCAAAGAACACACACAGGGGAGAAACCTTTTGAGTGCTCAGAGTGTGGAAAGAGATTCAGTGTGAGTAGTACTCTTCGGAGGCACCTAAGAACCCACACAGGGGAGAAACCTTTTGAATGCTCAGAGTGCGGAAAGAGATTTAGTGAGAGTAGTACTCTTCGTAAGCACGAAAGAACCCACACAAAGGAGAAACCTTTTGAATGCTCAGAATGTGGAAAGAGATTCATTCAGAATGACCATCTTCAGTATCATCAAAGAACCCACACAGGGGAGAAACCGTTTGAATGCACAGAGTGTGGGAAGAGATTCAATGAGAGTGGCATTCTTCAGCGGCATCGAAGGACCCACACGGGAGAAACCTTTTAAGTACTCAGATTGTGGAAAGAGATTGTCAGTGTATCCATCTTCAAAAGCATCAAAGAACCCACAAAGAAGAGCAATCTTTTGAATCCTCAGAGAGTGGAAAGAGATTCAGTCAGAATGGCTTCCAGGTTGCGGCGCAGTGTGACGGATGACACCAGGACTCGCTCCCAGGCACCACCGGCTCTTCAACTGAAGAAAATTTACTTGTTTGACTTTAACTTCCATTAAAGTTGAAGTTTTCTTTTTTTGGATTATAAGTAAGCTACTTGGAATCATAGGAAGACTCCTTAGAGAACTTTAACCAAGCAACTCCAATAAGGAATATAATTAATTATTTCTCATCAAAAGGACTATAAACCTATTCCTTTTAGAAAGAAAGAAAGAAAGAAAGAAAGAAAGAAAGAAAGAAAGAAAGAAAGAAAGAAAGAAAGAAAGAAAGAAAGAAAGAGGAAAATTGGACTCCATTTGTTTTGGGGTTTTTTGGTTTTTTGCCAGTTTCCCATAACATACCTTGCTTTATTTGCTGAAACTATAAAAGTTCACTGTGTTCAGATTCTATTGTATTGTTTGGTAAACAATTGATCAGCTACTATCTTGTAAGTTCTGAATGTGGTTAGTCTTCTAGGTCTTATTGAAGAAACAACATTGGAGACTCTCTCTTGCTAATATACTGTATTAAAATGGTTGGAAAAGACAGACCTAAAAAGGTGCAAGGCGTTGCACTTTCAGCTATGGGAAGGTCTGTAGATACCAATTTGGCACAGGTTTCCTGGGAGGAGTTTCAACGTATAATTCTCGACACAGTTACCTCTGCTGTTAAACTGGCAGTTAAAGAGGCTTATTTGTTGTTGTTCAGTCGCACAGTCGAGTCCGACTCTTCGCGACCCCATGGACCAGCTCCCGCCAGGCCCTCCTGTCTTCCGCCATCCTCTGAAGTTGGCTCAATTTTATGTTCGTTGCATCGATGACACTGTCTAACCATCTCATCCTTTGCCGTCCCCGTCTTCTTTGACCTTCAATCTTTCCCAGCATCAGGGTCTTTTAATTTAGTGCAAAACAAAAAGGAGACTTTGCCACTAGAACTGCACTCAAGATGAAGGAGCCTCAGCAACAAAGTGATAATGAATACACAGAGGAAAACTACAATCAAACTAACTTAACTTACACAGTGAACTTTGCATTTTAAAAAAAGGGACAAAACATTCACAGAAGCATATATGAGATTTAGTAAAAGAGTGAGAAATGATAAAATCTCCAAAGCTGTAAAAGATAGAACATTTCAGAGGGAAGAAATAAATGAATCTATAGAATCTTCAAAAATTGAAGAAAATTTTTCTAATTATAAGGGGAAAGACACAGAATTAAAACTCTAATGGAGAAATCAAAAAAAAAGAAGAGGATTAAATGTTACAAATAAGACTGGTTAGGGAATCTCTGTGACTGCACAATTGATTAAGACGGCTAGGGGATTTTTGGAGTCTGCATAATCAAGCTGATCCCTCAAAATATTGTGGGAAAACTCTACAGTAGAATAAATTATGAACTATATACTTAAATACATGTAACTGAAGATTATAGCAAATTGCTTATACAATGCTTAAAACAGAAGACAATATGAATTGTATACCTATAGATTTGCAAAGATTACAGCTTGATACAAGGTAGAAAAATGAAAGATAACGAGATATGTATGCGGTACGTAAAAAGATAAAACGATGATGTAGAATAAGTTACCCTCCTATGTATGCTTTGTGTGTTTGTACTTTGTCTTACGAAAAATAAAAAATTTCAGGAAGCAAAAAAAGAAGAAGAGAGATTCTCTCAGAATGGTAGTGTTCAATTTCATCAAAGAACCCCCAGGTGTGAGAAACCTTTTGAATACTAAGTGTCTAGACCCGGTGTTGCCTTACCTGGACTCGGGGGCAGCCCGAAGAAAGGCTCTCATGGCATGGCAACGCAACCCTAAAGAATGATGCCATCTCCCTCCCGCCTAGCTCCCTGACATGTCATCAGCCCATCCGCCTCCCTCACTGAAGCGGTACCTGTCGTCCCAGATGGCCAAATGAGGGCAAGGGGAGCAGGCGATGGCGCAGGCCAGGGAAGAGCATAGGACCAACTGCAGTGGAGGCTGAGCCAGGAGGCAGCGTGTGGAGGGAGAGGAGCAGGAAGCGGCCAGAGCCCCAGGAGGCTGTGGAAAGCCAGGGTGGAGACAGAATCCTGGGAGATGCCAGGCCTGGTGGTCGGGCACGCCCCCTTGCCTCAGAGAGGCTCTCCGCAGGCTATGTTGTCCAGCTGGTTCCCGCATGGTCCAGCTGAGAAGGTGGAATTGCGGGGGTGGGGAAGTCCACCCTGCTGGGCTCCGGGGGCAACCTGGTTCGGGTGAGCATGCAAGCAGAAACAAGAAGGGGAAAAAACTGAACCTAACAATAAACTCCAGAACCAAACAAAGGTTAGTGAAAAGGAGGGCCAATATTAAAACCTTTCCATAAAAA